ATAAAAACACCAAGAGCCTGGATTTAAGCTATAATTGGAGAGGGAAGGTTAAAAGCAAGTAGTTTTAATATTAGAAAAGAAATTAAAACATTTCAATGAGTCAACTCAAGATCTTCAACTATACCATGTGATTTTCTTACTCTAAAAAGTTAGAGAAACTTTCAGTATTTCTTTGAAGCCTTTTATATTAAGTAGATGATTGCTCCAATAAAGAGTAAGCATTCTCAGGAATTGTGCTCCCAAAACTCTGCTGATAGAGACACCTAGGTCTAATTATCTCACAGATAGTTCTCACCCATTCAGCATAATTTATTTAAAGCTAAATTTAGAAACTAGACTGAAAATGAATAAAAAATTACCACTGTTTATGTTCATACAGGCACTTCTTTTCCAATGGGACTTTAAGGATAGCATTTACCTCTAAATTTAGGCACACTGAATTGTCAGAACACTCAACATGAATACTATTATTTGAATATAACTTACAATTTTCCCAACTATGTTTCAGATCATAAATTTAAAGTAACTCCATCTCAATTCTAAACATTTTTCTTGAAGCGTAAAAAGGTCATTTATTAAAGGAAAAGTGGGAGGGACCTCTTCAGCTATAACACAAATGAATACAATGACTTCCTTAACAAGAAAAGCAACTTGCTATATAATCTCTGTTCAAGTGTTTTACCTATACTCTGAAAATTATCCTTCCAGATACTGTTATTTGTCTTTAAAAAGTATTCCGGTCTATTCTGTTGGGTTGTTCTGTTTGGCATGAGGCGGAAAAATGCTTTAAATGTGCTTCAGGTTAACTTTCAACATTCTTCAATTATAAAGCTGAGTCAAAAGAATAGTTAAGGCAAATGGTATTTTATGATCTGAAGGGGTTTGCTTAGTTTTATATTCCATAACCATTGACTAGCTAAGTTTAAAAGCATTGCTTACTATTGTCCAAGAACATGGGCATTTTATAAAAAGGAATTACATGTAGATTATGTTTGAGTTTGGAAAAGCCTGATAGTGATAGAAAACAGAGTTCATCAATAAGGTACATGAGGCTATACAGAGTAAGCCATGAACAAAAGTCTATGTAGAGAACTTGGAAATAAATAAGAATTCTTTATTGGTCAGTGACTAATATTTTTGGCTTAAATGCAAAGTTACTTGATAAAATCCATTACTTTTTAAAGCTCAAAAGAATCAAGATATCTTTATTGCATTATTCTCTGCAATTTTTCCTTTATAAAGGGATTCAGCACTTTTAAAAACTGAATGAGATATCTACCTAATCTACAAAGAGTCATATAAAGTCTATTTATGGGATTCTTTCAGCAATATCTGTATTACACATGGAACTGAACAACTAGACCAAACTTCCACAGCCCCGCAATACCCCCCAAAAGAGATGTCTCATTTAAAAACATTTTCTTTTCCTGACTTCTTGCTAAAACAGAATGCACTGACCCTTTAAACCCAACTATACTATATACTAATATGTTGTTGTTGATTGCCTTCGAGTAGAGCATGACTCATAGTAACCCTATGAACAAAAGGCCTGAAGCCTTTCTATAATTATCGACATTTATCAAAGTTCATAGAGTTTCTGAAGGCATGTTGTTTAAGAAGTGGATGCTACTCCTGCTTCCAAATATACCCTACTATATTATACTGCACTGCCTTCCTTTTAGTTGCAAAATTATAGAAAACTACATACTATTTTGTCTAACTCCAAATTCCTAATTTACAAAACAGTGGTGGAAACAGAATACTAGACTACTAGTAAAATGTTTCTATGGGGTCTTTATCATCATCTTCTGTTAAAAATATTTATTTTTTAAGTCAGGCTTATTGCTTGAGTGTCAACTCTCTACATGAGAACTAACATTGGAGTAAAGGAATCTTTGTTGCTTCCCTCCCCCAATGGTTAAGGTTTATATTTTTTAAAGTATTGAATTGGATTTGTTTTAAAAATCATACTCAAGAGATAGAACAGATTGAATAAATTATTTATTCTCAAAAAAAGGATCATGCAAAACTACCACACGAGGAAACAAAAACCATATAACACACCAGTAAAGTACAAGAGATTTTTCTTTTGAGGAGAGAGTGTAGAAAAAGACTTTTCAGTCTCCCTCTTTGATCACAATCAAAATAATAAATCAAAATCAAAGTTTGATATTTTCTTTCCATCAGAGGAACCAACTTTATGGGCTATATCTAATTAATAGCACCCTAAAGACAGGGTGCATCTAGATTGCTATAAAATCTCAAGGTGCAATTCTATAAACACTCAAATCTCTATAAACTTTTAACATCAGCTTTGTGTTGCTTTGGTAAACTTGTTTAATAATGATAGAACTTAAAGTTAAGCATAAAAAGTCTACAGGACTTTTTCATGTTCATGAGAGTAGCATCAACCTTGTATACGATGCTTTTCTACCTACTGGTCACTTTCAAGTAAACTGCTTCTGCGTATTCAATAAATAAATCCTACCTATAGTATCCTGAATTTGACTATCTTCCTTAGATAGTAGGTAAAGAGACTAGCCAATCATTTTCTAAGATTTTGCTAACAGGCAAATAGTTTACCTTTCTCTCCATCTATTCTTCCTGAACTAGGAAGGGTAGAATGGGCCTTTCTCAGAGTATGGCAGACTATAGCCCCAAGCTTTTGGGGGGCTCTCTATGTTAGTTAGGAGCCCCAACCAGGGCAAAAGGAAAGTCAGAAGATCTACCAAACTGAACCCCGCACACACACACATATGCTTTTAACTTAGTAAAACTTAAAAATTTTATTTTAGTAGTCTTCAAATATAACAACAGGATAGTAAAGGGTTCAGATCTGTTGTTCAAGGGTTGCTATAAGTTGTACTCAACTTGATGCCACCTAACACAGACCTCAGCAAAACTGTAATATAGTAATTTTTATTCTCAGTCTATTATTTCACATTCAAAGAACTAAGATAAAATAAAACTTTGAGATTTTAAAGTTGAGTCAATCAACTCATAAGTGAGAATTTAGCTTTCTTTATTTAGCTATTGAATAGAATAGAAAGTTATTTAAAAGATAAAATAGAAATACTATTAGCCTCTAGGTTTTATAATTTTTAAAAATATTAATCATGACTCCTAATACAGAATTATTATAACCTTCAAAATGTTAACCACAACAAAAAAAATTTAGGAAAACTAGGAAGCAGCTTGATTGTCAGTAGTATCCATTTCCATCTTTAATATGAAAGACATGCAGTAGAAGAAAAGGTTAATGCTATTTCTAATATCATGATAACAAATTCCATGAAAACATTTAATGAAATGCTATGATTTTTACATTTAAAATTAGAGATCAATAAGCAAGGTATTTCTAGAAATATATATAGAATTTTAACAAAATGTTAAAGATTTTTCATCAATTAATTTTAGATATAATTTTGTTCACATGCCAGAAGCTACTGTGCCAAATATTTAAAAGTTCTAGAGCTATGTTGACAAAAACAGCTAATAAAAATAAATTAAGAAAAAATCTGCCTTTGGGATAGTTTGACAACCTAAAATCTCAGAAAGCCCTGGAAAAGGAGAACAGTTTGTTTTGACTAATTGCTTTCTCCACTGTATATTAACCACATAGCATCATATCTAAATCTCCACAACTAGCAACATGATTTCCTCAGTAGTCATCACTTACAGAAAGTATTTTGAATGTACATAAAATGAAAAACAAAACAAATTTAACAGAAAAATATAGTCAGGCCTATTATTACACTTTTGAGTTAATAACGACTAAACATAGAACTTAACCTAATGAAGGCACTATTGTAAACAGCAATCCATATTCCCCATTTCAAAACCAGGTTTCCATTAAGAACTGAGAATTATGTTATCATCATTGATAAAAGGTAAACTAATATCAATATGAGTAAGTTATAACATTAATATGGAACTAAATTCTGATCTCCATACTGACATAAACTACTTGTCAGTTGTACCTTAAAATGTTCTAAACCATGAAAAGGACTGGTCTTTGAAAAAGCCTACCTAACTACTATAAAGCTTAAAATAGTTTAAATAGTCAAAATACTCTCCTAAATTGTGGTTCCTAAACTAGAATGGATGTCAGAATCACCTGGAACACTTATTATATCACCAGGCAGGGTCCATCTCCCACAAGTTGTAGGGTGTGGCTACTGTGCATTTCTTACCACTGCCCAGATGATCCTGGTGCTGTTGGTCTAGAGACTACATGCTGAGAACCAAAAATCTAAATTTCTAATGGCACATCAGCACAGCCCTAATCAAAATTTTGGTCAAGATGCATGTAAACAAATAAAGATACAATATTTTAACCCTTTCATGACCCATAAGACACACAGAGCATCCAGCTACCTTTTCCTCCTCCGGGGTATGCTTTCCCATTGGGCAGATGCTTTACCACTCACTGACAAGGAATGCAGCCATTTGTGGGGGAAGGGGTACTGCTCTTAACTATTTGAAAAGGAAGAAATGGCCATGGACACAAACTGCTAATTTTATACAACCTTGTTTGAAGTGATGCAGTATGAAAGTATAATTTTGCAAAATTTTTGTCTCTTGGCTTTCTTAACTGGGAGGTAAGCTTTTATTTGGAAGTTGCCTTTGTCCTGTTGAACTAAATACCACATCTTCAGGTACCCTAAATTTCCTGTGCCTGTCAAGGCATATACATGTCCCAATAGTTCTACCCCCCCCAGAGACTCGAGGGAAATGTGTGTCCCATACCATTTCACTCTAGAGTCCAGGGTAACAAGGTGTATCTTACATAACTCTATCCTTAGAGTCCAGAGGAGCTTATGTGTCCCATCTGGTCTGTGCCAAAATCCCTGTTTCTTAATAAAACTTCAGAAATGCTTCTTGATTCCACACGCCTTCCTTCCATTACTAAGAACACAGAGTATCAACAAAAAGTTCAAAGTTGAAAGGAACAGAGTCATGAAAAGGTTAATGCTTAGGTAGAACACAGATAACCCTTATTACATCAAAACATCCACATCTGCTTCATGGTCTTCCTCAGTCACTTTCAAGGACAGCACCTCTTCATTAAGGAAGAGGCCACTTAGCCTCTCCTTCCGAGCTTGCCTCTGCTCTTTAAGCTGCCTCTTGCGTAAGGCCTTCTGCTGCAACTTCCGCTGCTTGGAACGCTTCTGTCAAAATAAAGATATCTAAATCAGTAAAGTTCAATTCAGGGAAAATGATCTCACTTTGTTGTATGTGTCAAATTCTGTACTTTCAGAACGTGAAGAAATATTCAAATGTGAACCACTGACATAGACCTGAAAATGATTCTTCAAAATTCTATTTTTATAGTATTTCACCAGTAAATCTTCCCTTAGCAAGGGCTAAAACATTTTGAATAGTTACAGGTAACTAGTCATCTGCTGTTCTTGTTGTTGTTATGTGCCATCACGTCGCCTGCAACTCATAGTGACCCTATGTACAACAGCTCTGAAGCCTGCCCTGTCCTGAGCCAGTCTCACTGACTCCAACACACCAACCCACACTGCCTCAGTTACTGTATCAATCCATCTCATCAGGGGTCTTCCTCTCCTGTGCTGTCCCTCCACCCTTCCAAGCAATATGTCCTTCACCAAGGATTGGTCTCTCCTGGCCACATGCACAAAAAGTATGTAAGACAAGCTTCATAATCCTTGCCTGCAAGGAGAAACTTGGTTTCACCCTCTCCAAGACAGACCTATTTGTTTTCTTGGCAGTCCATGGTAGGTTCAAGACTCTTCTCCTGTACAACTTAAAGTCATCAACTCTTCTTCTGTCATCCTTAGTCATTGTGCAGCTCTCTAATGCACAGCAAGTAATTGCAAAGACCATGGACTGCATTAGGTGCAACTTAGTCTAGACTGACATCGTTGCTTCTCAGTACTCTGGAAAACGTCCCTGACAGCAGATTTACCTAATGCAATTCACCTTTTGATTTCCTGACTGCCAGTGCCAAAAGTGTTGATTGTGGAGCTGAGCAAGCTGTAAAGTGTTAACAACCTCAATCTCTTCTCTATCCATCATGGTGCTTCCAATGGGCCCAGTGGTGAGAATCTTTGTCTTCTTGATGTTGAGCTTCAATCCATATTGAAGTCTACAATCCTTTGACCTTCTCCAGCAGGAGCTTCAGGTCTCCTTCAGTTTCAGCAAACAAGGTTGTGTCATCTGTCTAACGTAGGTTATTTATTAGTCTTCCTTCAATCTGAAGCTACATTCCTCCCCAAGCCCAGCTTCCTGAATAATCTGTTCTCCATATAAATTGAAAGGTATGGAGACAGGACACATCCCTGACACACTTCCTTCCTGATTTTGAAGCATGCAGTGTTTCCCTGCTCTGTTCTGTGGACTGATTCCTGGTCCAAGTATAGGTTTCTCATAAGCACAATCAAGTGTTCTGGGATTCCCATTTTCCTCAAGGTTAGCCACAATTTGTTGTGATCCACATAGTCAAATGACTCCACATAGTCAATGAAACACAGATAGACATCCCTCTGGTACTCTTTGCTTTATGTCAAGATCCAGCTGACATTGGTGATAATGTCTCTAGTGTTACAGCGTCTTCTAAACCCAGCTTGTATTTCTTGTAGTCCTCTGCCAATGTACTATTCCAGTTATTTCTGGATAATCTTCAACAGGATTTTGCTTGCGTGTGATATGAATGATATTGTACGATAATTTCCACACTCTGTCAGGTCACCTTTTTTTGGAATGGGAATAAATATAGATCTATTTCAGTCAGTTGGCCAGGTAGATGTCCTCCAGATTTCTTGGCACAACCTGGTGAGCACCTTCAGCACAGCATCTGTTTGTTGAAATATGTCAATTGGTATGCCTGATCTTCCTCCTTCATCACCACTGCCTTTTGATCATATGCTGTTTCTTGAAATTCTTCTGTATCAGCCAATTTTTTTTTTTTGGCACAGTGACTCTGTATACTCCTTCCATCTTCTCTTAATACTTACTGGATCATTCAATATTTTACCAACAGCATCCTTAAGTATTGCAACTTGAGGCTTGGATTTGTTCTTTAGTTCCTCCAGTTTAAGAAATGTCAAACAAGTATGGCCCTTTTGACTTTGACTCTAGCTCTTTGCACAATGCATTATAATACTTTGCTTTGTCTTCCCATGCTAACTTAAGAAATCTATTCACCTCCTTAAGGTCTTGATTTCTTCCCTTTGCTTTGGCTTCTCGGTGCTCTAGTGCAGTATTCAGAGTCTTTTCTGACATCTATTTTGGTCTTTTTTCCTTACTCTGTCTTTGTAATAACCTTTTGCATTCTTCATGGCTGATATGCTTGATATCCTCCCACACCTCATGTGGTCTTCGCTCATTAGTGCTCAAGGTCTCAAACCTTTTTCTGAGTGGTTAGGACATCTTTTCTCAAATTCAGGTACATGACTGTCAATACGTAGTGAACATACAATTTATACTAGGGAATGGGACTGAATACAAATACAGCTATGTTCTCAAATCTCAAAGAATCATGCCATTTCCATTCATATTAAGCAAAGCTTAATACCAATTAAATGCCTACTAGGAAACTTTGTCACAAGTGAAGTAATGCCTAACAGGCATTGGCTATGTTTCTCCTTCTTCAGTAAGAGTCAGAGAAGGAATCACTGTTTATCTAGACATCACCACTGGGTTCTCAATGAGTTACCTTATTTTCCGCATATAATGCCCCTGCACCCATGAAAACAGCATGTACTTACAACAGTGTTGCACAGTGCAAAAATCAGATAACTCGCGTACTACCGAAACTAAACTCCCCCGATAAGTATTATAGAACCATTGTATATACATTTTATTCTTTTTTTAAAATTCCTTATTGCCCAACAATACTATATAGAATATTTTCAACTGAAAAGACAGAAATTACTGAAAACATACTTTTTAAATTGTCTAAGAAGGAAAATTCAAAATTAGAGCATTTAGACATCACACACACACACACACACACACACACACACAATACAGAACATTTATAGGAGCTAATGGATAGCAACTTTGCTCAGTACTGAGTTGCAGTCAATACTGCAATTTTCAAGATCATTCTTTATTTCCATCAATTTATCTCACTTAAAACAGACATAAAAATCAGGTAAGATTGAATACAATAGACTTGTGGGTCACAACAGTATGTCAAAACACTCAACATTCTGCTTGTTCAATTAAAGCGAAAACCCACAGGCATCTAGTTAGCAAGACAGTTATAACTATTCAAGAAATTGATAGTAGGAAGTACTAAACTTAATCAATACTGAAAGGTAAAAATTTTTATTGATTAGGTGTTTTACTTTTGAATCCCGAATCCGTTCTGCTGCACTTGCAGATAGGTTGCTGTCACTGTGTGCTCGACTCATGTTGGCACTGGAGTTGGAAGCAGAGTTTCCAACACTGGACCCACTGCTGCTTGCAGAACTGACCATGCTGGCACTGCTGCTGCTGGCACTGGCACCACTCATTCCACTGGTGCTTGCACAACTAAAGTTGCTTCTCTTCCAGGCCTCTCTTGCAGGCCGTTGGCGAGGGCTATGCTCCTTGATATAGTTTCTGACCTTGGGACACACAGACAAAAAGTGGTCAGCAATATACTTTGATGTTCTACCCTCGATGTAGGAGGGGGGGAGAATTGTACTTTATTTTAAAGAATGTCAAAAGCACTACAAAAGAATCATGGTAACAAAAGAGGAGAGGAGATAAAAGGGTAATGAGAATATGATATAAAATTGTCATGGGAACCCCTAACATTATTGCTCTGAGGTAATCTTTAAACTTTAAACTAAAAATATCTCATGGAATCTTCTTAAAACCAAAGAATAGTAAAGTTTAATCAATAAATAAGGTTTGCCTTGGGCACTGAGCTCCGTTTTAAAAATCTATCTATATGGGGTTACAAAAGAAACAGGCTACCTTGAACCCTACACAAGTGCAAAGCAAGATGTCACTCTCAAAAAGTGACACAGTATCAATGGATTTCCTGAAGCCAGAAAGTCTAATGGAACTTTCTGGCAAAGAAATAAAAAAAACAATGACTGCATATTTTTACGGGTGAAAGACAAACATTAAGAATTACAGGACACTGCAAGCAAAAACCAGGAGGAACTTAAAAAAACAATTCAAAGCAATGCAGATAAAACAAATGCGGCCTTAGAGGCTCTGGAAAAAATAAGAAACCACAATCCAAAATATGAGGTTCAATGTCTCAGATGTTGTCAAAATGATAGAGAGAGACACATGAACAAAGCATAAGAAGTGGGACAGAGAATCAGTGGAATAGAAAATAGAATTGTCACCACTGATCTGCTAGAGCAAACACCAGATTCAAAAAGGAAGGAAAAAGAAGAAAACTTAAGAATAATAATGTGGGACACCATCAAAAGAAACGACATGCACATCATCAGAATGCCAGAACAGCAAGAAGCACGCTCAGGAACCAAAAAAGGAGGGAGGCGGGAGAAAGAGAGAGAGAGAGAGAGAGACACACACACACAAAGAGGAACTTATAAGGGAGAGTAGATAAGATTAAGTGCCAATTTTCTCAGCAGAAACTATGTGAGCAAGAAGAATAAGAACACAACTGTCAACCAAGAATACTGTACCCAGTGAAACTATTCATCAAATATGAAGGAGAGATCAAGGTATTCCCAGAAAAACAGAACCTAAGGGAGTTTGTAAAAGCAGGACCAGTGCTGTAGCAAACACTAAGAGATGTCCTTCTTACAGAGGTACCACTGAAAGCAGCATAGACCAAAGTAGCTAGCAACAACACCAAAAAGGACTCAACAAAATGATAGCAATAAAATCTTGCCTCTCAATAATCACACTGAATGTGAATGGTTTAAATGCACCACTGAAGAAAAAAAAAAATAGCAGACTGAATAAAAAACCCCCCAAACTCCATCAATACGCTGTCTTCTAGAGACACACATGAAAAATTAAGAGAAAAAACAATTAAAAACAAAAGAATGAGGGGGAAATACACCAAGCAAAAACCAGAAAAAAGCAGGAGTAGCAATCTTAATTTCTCATAAATTTCAATGCAAAAACAATCACAAAGGATGAGGAAGGTCAATACATAATGCTCAAATGGTCAATAGAACAAGAGGACATATGATAATAAATATCTATGTACCAAATGAAAGACCTGCAAATTATATAAAACATTACCAAAACTGAAAAATGAAAGACAATACCACTATAGTACTTGGAGACTTCAATACAGTACCCTTAAGACAAGATAAAACTACCAGATACAAACTCAAGAAAGATGCTAAAGAATTAAACCACATAATAAACCAACATGACCTCACAGATATTTATAGGCTAATGCACCCCAAAAAAGTACAGCATACCTTCTTCTCCAATGTGCATGGAACATTCTCCAGAATAGATCACACTTTAAGTCACAAGGCAAGCATCAATAAATTAAAAAACAGATATAATACAAAGCATCTTCTCAGACAACAATGCTACAAAATTAGAAATAACAAGAGGATAAAGGAGAAAAAAAAAACATACATTAGGAAGCTGAATAATACCTTGCTTAAACATGAGTAGATACTAGAAGAAATAAAAAAATAAAAAGTTTCTTGAAACAAATGCCAATGAAAATACCATTTACCAAAACCTCTAAGAAACAGCCAAAGCAGTAACCAGAGTCAATTCATAGTAATAAGCAAACACATCAAAAGGTACCAAAAAATGACCATTGACTCTCTAAGTCAACATCTCCAACAAATTGAAAAAGAACAGCAAGAAAACTCAACACCCTCTAAAAAAACTGATATTATAAAAACTAGAGCAGAAATAAATGAAATAGAAAAGAGAAAAATAACTGAAATCATCAACAAAACTAGAAGTTGTTTCTTTGAAAACGTCAATAAAATTGATAAAACACAAGCAAAACTAATGAAGGGAAAGACAAATAATCTGAATAAAAGATGAAACAGGAAAAGTCACAACACAACCAACTAAAATAAAAAGGACAACAGAATATTATGAAAAACTATATTCAAATAAATATGAAAACCTAGAGTAAAGGCAAATACTTAGAAGTTCACAACCTACCTAAACTGGCACAAATCAAAACTGAACACCTGAACAGACCTATTAAAAAAGAAGAAACTGAAAAGGTAATAAAAAACCTTCCAGCCAAACAAGGCCCTGGACCAGATGGTGTTACAAGTGAATTTTATTAAACATTCAGACAAGAACTGTCATTAATTCTACATAAACAATCTCAAATATAGAAAAAGATGGAATTTTCCCAGACTCATTCTATGAAGCAAACATATCCTTGATACCAAAGCAACGTAAAGATATCACCAAAATAGAAAACTATAGCTCAATATCTCTCATGAATGTAGATAGAGGTAAAAATCCTGAATAAAATCCTGGCCAACAGAATCCAATGATACATCAAAAAAATAATTCATCATGACCAAGTGGGATTCATAACAGGTATTCAAGGATGGTTCAACACAAGAAAAAACAATCAATATAATTCATCATATTAACAAAGCAAAGAACAAGAACCACACAACCCTATAATTGAAGCAAAAAAAGCCTTTGACAAAATGCAACACCCTTTGCTGATTAAAACACTGAACAAGAGGATTAGAAGGGAATTTCTTAAACATAGTAAAAAGTATATAAACAAACCTGAGAGCCAACATTGTTCACAAAGGAGAGAGACTAAAGGCATTCCCTTTGAGAACAGGAAGTAGGCAAGGATGCACACTATTACCTCTCATATTCAATATTGTACTGGAAGTCTTAGCAATAGCAGTAAGGCAAGAGAAGGAAATAAGAGGTATTCAAATTGGAAAAGAGGAGGTAAAATTATTTCTCTATGCACCACTGGGCCAATTGGCAGCATCAGTATGGATGGTGACGAGATTGAGATAGTTAACAGTTTTCGTTTACTTGGTTCCACAGTCAACACTCTTAGTAACAGTAGCCAGGAAATCAGGAGACGAATTGCATTGGGAAAGTCAGCTGTGAGGGACCTCTCAAGAGTACTGAAGTGCAACGACATCAGGCTGGAGACTAAGGCGCACCTGAACCAGGCTATAGTCTTTGCAATTATGTGCTACGCATCGGAGATCTGGACAGTGAATAGGAATGATAGAAAGAGAATTGATGCCTTTAAGTTGTGGTGCTGGAAAAGAGTGTTGAATACCATGGACTGCTAGGAGAACAAACAGGTTTGTCCTAGAGAGGGTAAAGCCAGAATGTTCCCTGGAGTCAAGGATTGTGAAGCTTCGTCTGACATACTTTGGGCATGTTGCAAGAAGGGACTGGTCCTTGGAGAGGAACACCATGTTTGGGAGAGTGGAGGAACGGCGCAGGAGAGGAAGACCCTTGATGAGATGAATCGGTTCTGTGAGTGGAGTGGTGGGAATGAATGTGTTTGAGACAGTGAGGTTGGCACAGGATAGAATGGCATTTAGGGGTCTTGTATATAGGGTCGCTATGAGTTGCAAATAACTCGATGGCACATAACAACAACATACAGATGATATGATAGTGTAGTTAGAAAACCCTAAAGATTCAGCAAGAAAATTATTGGACATAGTTAACCAATTCGGCAAAGTGGCAGGATACAAGATCAACATACAAAATAAATTGGATTTATCTACAGTGACAAAAGAGAATACAGAACTGAAGCTAAGAAAAATAATACTCATCACAATACCTAATCAAATGATTAAATAACTCGGAATAAATCTAACTAGAAACACAAAGGATCTATTCAAAGAAAATTACAAAACATTACTCCAAGAAACAAAAATAAACCTGAAGTAATGGAAGAATATACCTTGTTCATGGATAGGAAGACTAATATTGTGAAAATGACAATACTACCAAAGGCAATTTATACATTCAATGCAATCTCAATACAAATACCAATTCCATTTTTCAATGAGATAGAAAAGGCATTCTCCAATTTCATTTGGAATGGAAAGAGGCGCCGAATAAGTAAAGCACTCCTTAAAAAGAAAAACAAGGTAGGCGGCATCTCACTCCCTGACTTCAAATCCTACTACACTGCCATGGTGGTCAAGTCAGTGTGGTATTGGTACAATGACACATTGAACAATGTCAAAAAACTGAGAACCCAGAAATCAGCCCATCTACTATGGCCAATGGATTTTTGACAAGGAGATGAAATCACTTAAGTAGGGAAACTAAAGCCTTTTTAACAAATGGTGTTGGCAAAACTGGAAAACTATCTGCAGAAAACTCAAGCAAGATCCACACCATACTCTATACACAAAAAGCAACTCAAAGTGGATCAAGGACCTAGGACTAAAACCAAGGAGTATACAGTTCAATAGAGATAAGCTTGGAAGAACTCTAGAAGTCCTAATCCACAATATGAACAGTCTTCCAAGCATTCTTTAAAACCTATAACCAGGAGAGGATAAAATAGATGAATGGAATCTTCTAAGAATAAAATCACTAAGCACATCCAAAAGCTTCACCAACAGGGTAAAAAGGGAAGCCACAGACTGGGAAAAAATATTTGGAATGACTGATAAGGGACTTATATCTGGAATTTATAGAATACTTGAGTGTCACAACAAGATAAAGGTAAACAACCCAATTGCAAAATAGACATGGGATATGAACAGACACTTCACCAAAGAAGACATTCAGATGGCAAACAAACACATGAAGAAATGTTCAAAATCCCTAGCTCTAAGAGAGATGCAAATCAAAACAACTGTGAGATATCATCTCACTCCTGTAAGAATAGCAAAATTCAATAGAACAGCAAACATCAAATGCTGGCAAGGTTGCAGAGAAACTGGAACCCTTATTCACTGTTTGTGGGAATATAAAATGGTGCAACCACTATGGAAGGCTATATGGTGCTTTCTCAAAAAGTTGCAAATAGAACTACCATTTGACCCAGCAATTCCACTACTGGGAACATACCCTAAAGAAACCAGAACCAAAGCAGATAAATGTATGCCCATGTTAACTGCTGCTTTGTTCATAACAGCAAAAAGTAGGAAACAGCCCAAATGTCCATCAACAAACGAATGGATAGAGAAGTTGTGGTATATCCACACATTGGAATACTATGTTTCACTGAAAAATAAGGAACTCATGAAATATAATACAAAATGGGTGACCCTGGAGGACATTATATTAAGTGCAATATCTCAGTCACAAAAGGACAAATATTGCATAGTGCCACTGTTGTAAAATGGGACTGACGTCAGGATTGGGGGGAACTTAAGAAAAGAGGGGATAAATAACATATATTACATTGAAACAGATGCGGAAGAGAACTGTTTAAAAGGAATATATGATTAGGTATTATTTTCATGACAAGATTCCAGAAAAGAAATCCATAGTAAAGTGAACTGTGCACTGGGGGTGGCAGTTCACAAGAGATTGTATAACAATGAAAAATTTTTTTCTTTTCAAAGAGAAAAGTGAACTAGGGAGAAGGGTGGGCAGGGAGGAAATGTACAACAATGAATGAATGAGAAAAATAATTAAATGGGAAGAATATGCTGTAAAAAAATAAAAGAAAATAAACTGTTTATCAAAGTATAGCTCTAATTAATCAGTATTTCAATGCTGTTAGTCTCTTTTAACTTGAGTTATAATAAATATATACTCTCACCTGACGACCCTTTAAGTTATAAAGTTTCAAAGACTACCAAATCGAAGAGCAGACTCTAGATCTATACTAATCCATCTAAAAAGTATTGCTGTTGTTGTAGTTGTTGTTATGTGCCGTCAAGTTGCTTGCGACTCACAGTGACCCTATGTACAACAGTCCTAAACTCTGCTCTGTCCTGTGCCAATCGCACTGTCTCCAATACACCCGTCCCGATTACTCGAGTCACTTCATGGAGGGTCTTCTCCTCCGACGCTGTCCCTCCACCATCCCAAGCATGATGTCCTTCTCCAAGGACCGGTCCCTCCTTACAACATGTCCAAAGTATGTCAGACGAAGCCCCAGAATCCTTGCTTCCAAGGAGTAGCCCGGTTTAACCCTCTCTAGGATGAATCTGTTTGTTTTCTTAGCAGTCCATGATACACTCAATACTCTTCTCCAGCACCACAGCTCAAAGGCATCAATTCTCCTTCTATCCTCCCTAGACATTGTCCAACTCTCTGACGCATAACAAGTGATTGCAAAGACCACGGCCTGTATCAGATGCACCTTGGTCTCCAGAGAGACACCACTGCTCTTCAATACTTTGGAGAGGTCCCTAACAGCAGACTTTCCCATTGAAATACGTCTTTTAATTTCCTGACTACTGGTGCCAAGAGTGTTGACTGTGGAGCCAAGCAAACTAAAGCTCTGAATAATCTCAATCACCATCCATCCTGATGCTGCCAATTGGTCCAGTGGTGAGAATCTTTGTCTTCTTGATATTGAGCCTCAATCCATATTGAAGGCTGCAGTCCTTGACCCTCTGCAGCAAGCACTTCAGGTCCTCCTCAGTTTCAGCAAACAGGGTTGTGTCATCTGCATAATGCAGATTATTGATAGATTTTCCACCAATCCTGATGCCACATTTCTCCTCATAGAGCCCAGCTTCCTGGACAATCTGTTCTGCATAAAGGTTTAAAAGGTATGGAGACAGGACATATCCCTGGCATACGCCCTTCCCAATTTTGAACCATGCAGTATTTCCTTGCTCTGTTCTGACAACTGCCTCTTGATCCAAGTATAGGTTTCGCATTAGCACGATCAAGTGTTCTGGGATTCCCATTCTTCTCAGAGTCAGCCACAGTTTGTTATGAACCTCACAGTCGAACACCTTTGTATAATCAATGAAACACAGATAGACCTTCCTCTGGTATTCCCTGCTTTCAGCTAAGATTCATCTAACATTAGCTACAATATCCCTAGTACCATGACCCCTTCTAAACCCAGCCTGGACTTACGGCAGTTCTCTGTTGATGTGCTGTTCCAGTCGTTTTTTGGAAAAAGTAGTGCTAGGTGCATAAAACCTTTTAGAATCACATGGTGTTCTAAAAAAGTACCATCATTTTTTTAATACAGCAACACATTGCACAGTGGTGAGTCTGATCTTAATCAAAATCATAATGTGTTTCTGCATTATTATTCAAATCTACATTTTATAAGACAGTGGTATTTACAAGTAGCTGTCTAATATGTTGCTGCTGTTGTGTTTTTCTTTACATACCTGCTTCAGTTTTTCATCTGTGAGACAGTTAAGTTCAATAATAAACTCACTGTCTGTAGGAGAGATTTGAGCGGAAGGATCAATGATTTTAATAATATCAAGTTGCTCCCGAAGACCCATCTCAGTACTGACTTTACGACTCAGATACTCAATATATTCCACCTGTGACAAAAAAGTACAAGATTAATGCTAATACCTTTGATCTTTTACTATGTCCTTTATATAATGTGTTTATGTATCAGAAACACTTATTATTAAGCTTATATCCCGATATACCAAGCAATTCATGTAAACAGACAATACAATGAGATTCACATGTTCTTCATATACATGGCTTTCATGAAGAATGGCAAAATTTCTACCTGCTCATCATTTGTCATGGCACTCCAAGGAAGTTCATCTAAATTCTGATGTTTATTTTTCTTCTTTGGAAGCAGGCAGGGTGAACTTGGAATACTGGGTATGACATCAGAAAGCACATCACTCCCACTGGCAATATCACTTCCTGGTAACTTTGTAGTAGGGTTGGGTAAGGAAAGGAAAAAGTTTTAGAAAAATGCATTTTAAATACTACAGCATGCTGCACACTGATTAAATGTTACTTTAACAAGTAACAAATAAGGTGACATAAATTCTTATCTATGCCTATCTTAGACAAAGCAATGGTATCAATATACTCATTTTGTATATAGTCACTGACTCAATTTTCCAAAAGCTTAAAATCATAATCAAGATTAATTAGTATGGTAACTTACAAATTGCAAGTCTGGAGACTAAGGTGCACCTGGTCTAGGCCATGGTATTTGTAATCACTTGCTATGCACCAGAGAGCTGGACATTGACTAGGGATGATAGAAAGAGAATTGATGCCTTTGAGCTGTGGTGCAGGAGAAGAGTATTGAATATACTATGGACTGCTAGGAAAACGAACAGGTTAGTCCTAGAGAGGGTGAGACCAGGCTGCTCCTTAGAGGCAAGGGTTCTGAAGCTTTGTCTGACATACTTTGGACATGTTGCAAGGCAGGACCAGTCCTTGAAAAGGGACGTCATGCTTGGGAGGGTGAAGGGACAACTTGGTGACTTGGGTAATGGGGGTAGGTGTGTCAGAAACAACAAGATGGGACAGGATAGAGCAGGGTTTAGGGCTGATGTACAAAGGGTCATTATGAGTTACAGATGATTCGATGGCACATAACAACAACAACAACCTACAAATCAATCATCATGGTTTTTCACTGTAATGTGAATTACGGGCACTGATCTGAATCACCAGATACAGAGAGAGCTAACTGGTGTTTTGCCACGTTCCATGTCCCACCAATATAAAGCTAACTAAATCATTGTCTTTGTCCTCAAATCATTATTAACAAACTCAAAACAATTAAAATAGTTTAAAGAGTCATCTTTTAATTTTAAAAAATGACCCACAAAATAAAGAATATGACCATAGTGTATGACATTCTTTAAAAAAAAATCAACTGTATGAAACCAAACATTTAACAGTTACTCTAAAGCAAAGTTGAGAATGTAAAGGGGTACAGAAATTAGATTAACAGAAACAAGACAACCAGAACAGAAATTACGAGAATATTCATACCCTGAAGAATGCAACCAATGTCAGAGAACAATTTGTATAGAAATTGCTGAATGAGAATCTAAACTGCTGTGTAAATTTTCACTGAAAGCACAGCAAAGTATTATTTTTCAAAAAGAAAATAAAAAATGGTAAGTGTAAAAAAAGGAGAAATATAAAAAAGACTACAGAAAATCTAATCTGTTCAAAATACGATTAATAATAGAAATATGTCCTAATATCACACTGCTCAAACACCTAGTAAATATTACCAATTAAAATGGATTTAATTTTAAATCATTTCATTCACTCAAGCAAAAAATGAACTATTTTCTTCTACAAAGACTATGTAGAAAGATAATGTTTTCATAAGGTATGATACAGGGATTTTTTTTTAATCCTCCATGTTTTGAAAGTTCCTTTTACAGAACTTCTTTGTTTTTAATGGTTTGCTTACAAAGTTTGTATACATTGTGTTTCACACTATTATTCATTCACATTGTGTTTCATCCAATCATTCCCATGCACTATTTTATAAAATCAGTAACTACTGGACCTGGCCCATAATCAACCAGTCTTTTCAGGTCTCTGCTGGATCTTTCCCATTTCACTCTCCCCACTGAATTGTGCAAACCTGTGGTTTTATTTCTACCCATCTTCACCCCTCTGCTCCCACCTTTTCCGCCTTTGGGTTCCTGTACATGTTTTACTAGTTGTCCTTCTATTTGTACAATATGCAGTATTTGTCCTTATGGGTCTAAGTTCACTCAGTATAATGCTCTCCAGTCTCTCCCAAGTTATGTTGTACTTTTTAAAAATTGTTGCTCCTGAGTGCTGGCATAGTATTCCACTGTGTGAATGTACCACAATTTCTTAATCCATTCAGTTGTAGTTGGACATCTGGGCTGTTTCCATATTCTTGCGATGATCAATAATGCTGCTATGAACACTTGGTATACAAATCTCTGTTTATGTCTCAGTTCTAATTTCCTTGAATTATATTCCTAGTAGTGGAATAGCTGGGTCATATGGAGTTAATATATACAATTTCACTTTTGTGGAAGATTTACATTAGTACTGTTTTCCCTAATGGAAAGAAATTCAAAGTATACTTTCACTTTTAAGTAAAAAAGCCTTAGGAAAATTTGCTGTCAGGGATCTCTACAAACTACTGAGGAGCAACAATGTCAGTCTAGAGACTAGGGTGTACCTGATCCAAGCCATGGTCTTCACAATTGGTTGCTATGCATCAGAGAGTTGGACAATGAATAAGGATGACAGAAGAAGAATCGATGTCTTTGAGTTGTGGTACTTGAGAAGAGTGTTGAACATAGCATGAACTACCAAGAGAACAAACAGGTCTGTCATGAAGAGAGTGAAACTAGGCTACTCCTTGGAGGCTAGGATTTTGAAGCTCTGTCTGATATACTTTGGACATGTTGCAAGGAGAGACCAGTCCTTGGAGAAGGACAACAGGCTTAGAAGGATGGAGAGGCAATGCAGGAGAGGAAGACCCTGGATGAGATGGATTGACTGAGTAATTGGAGTAATGGGGGTAGTTATGTTGGAGACAGATTGTTTCAAGATAGGGCAAGGTTTGGGGCTATTGTACATAGGGTCTCTATGAGTCAAAGATGTCTCAACGGCACATAACAACAACATCCTTAACATGAGAGCTCTAACGGCCTAGTGTGTGAGGAGGTATGCTGCCAACACTAACGCAGGTGGTTGAAATCCACCAGCTCTACTGTGGGAGAAAGATGGACAATCTCCATCCTGGCAATTTACAGCCTCTGAAAACCCACTAAAAGGCTAGTTATAAGTTATCTTTAACATATAGGTCTTGGTGGTGCAGTGGTAAAGTGCTTATATGCTAACTGAAAAGTCAGCACTGGTCACTCTACGGAAGAAAAATACAGCAAAACACTTTCATAAAGATTCTGTAAACCCTTGAAAATTTTATCAGGTAGAACTTGTATGGCAATGACTTCAGTTTTTCTCTAATATTATCTAGTTGTTCTTCTGAAAAGATTTTTGCTGAATGTACATGTGAATGTGAAGCCTAACATCGAGAAAACAAAGATACACACTACTGGGCCTCAATTGGCAGCATCATGACAGATGAAGACGAGATTAAGATTGTTGAGAGCTTCAGCTTGCTTGGCTCCACAATCAACACTCTTGGTACCAGAAGCCAGGCAATAAAATCTACTATCAGGGACTTTTCCAGAGTACTGAAGAGCAACGATGTCAGTCTAAAGACTAAGGTGCACCCAATCCAGACCATGGTCTTTGCAATTACTTGCCATGATCAGAAAGCTGGACAATGACTAACTATGGTAGAAGAAGAATTGAAGCCTCTGAGTTGTGCTGGAGAAGGGTACTGAATATGCCATGGACTGCTAGAACAAACAAGTTCAGCCTAGAAAGGGTGAAACCAGGCTACTCCTTAAAGGCAAGGATTTTAAAGGTTTGTCTGACATACTTTGGGCATGTTACATGTTTCCAGTCCTTGGAAAGGGACATCATGCTTGGAAGCATGGAGGGACAGTGAAAGAGAGGAAGACCTTGGATGAGATAGATTAAGTCAGTGAATGGGGTAATTGTCAGAGACAATGAGGTTGGCTTAGGACTGAGCAAGTTTCAGAACTGTTGTACAAGCGACTCAGCAGCACATAACAGCAATAAAAACATGTGAATGCCATCTCGTTCCCAGATTTCAATGGCAAAAGAAATTAGGCCATTTTTCCTTTGAAAGCCTTCAAACCACAACATTGCTGCATTAAAGGTTCCTTTGTGGTCTTTAAAACAAGATGGCAATACTACTTAATAGAGGAAAGGCTCCCCTACTTAGAATTCCTTTGATAAATAAAAAAAAGGAACTCACAGAATACCTATCCTTTGAAAATTTAAGAAAAAATTTCACCTAAATTTTTAGTATCTATCTGCCACTGCATGTTTTGTAGGGGCTGTTGTTATTATGTGCCGGCAGTGGTTCTTTGTGCAGTTTTTTTCCATGAAGAAGTAAAAAGCCCAGAGTTCAAATTCCAGTTCCTCTGCTCAGTCACTATGAGATCTTTCATAGGTGTGTTAATGTGTTTGAACATAAGTGTCTTCTTTAAGATATAGGTACTGGTCAAAGGATTTTTTAGTATTGACAGTTTTAAACAAAGTAACATATCTGACTAAAGAATACACTCAATACATAAATTCTTCTTTTTCAATCTCCTGCCACAGTTTTTCTTTTTTTAAAAGGTAGCATTTTACAAATTCTTAACACCACATATAGCTTCAGTGACCAGGTTGTCCACAAAGCAGAATGGAAAAGGGGCAAAAGGAAAAATGCACGTTATGTAAGGTGAATAATTTAATAATATCATTGAGAGATTTAAAAAAAACAAACAAACACCCAAACTCCAAAAACCAACCAACCAACCAACCAAAGGGGAAGGCTTAAGGAGACCAATGATTGAAATAGAAAATCTGTCCCAGGAGTGTCAAAATTCAACAGAAGAATCAGAAGCTTTTGTGAGTAGGCTTTGAGATGATGTTTCTTACTATATTATGATTACTAATTATGCTTATGCTCAAAGAAGTTCTGTAAGTAGAAGTAGTAACTTGATGGCATAGGTCTTGAGTGAAGTCGAGTTAAAAAGCAATGAAGATAGCAATCTAGGAACAAGACAGAATGAAGAAAGATTGGGATTAAACAGGAAGTTCTTGCAATCAAGATCTGAAATAAGAGAAACACACGAGTCTTTGGGTGGTATAAATGGTTAATGCATGTGGCTACTAAGGCTGGAAGTTTAAGTTCATCTAGAGGCATCTTAAGTAGATCTCATGGTGCTGTGTTGCTAACTGAAAAGATAAGCAGTTTGAAAGATGGGCAGGTTTCTTCTATAAAGATATACAATCTCAGAAATACCACGAGAGGGTCAC